AGCCTATTAAAGTCCACTGCTGAACATACGACTCCCACATATGTATAGCCTTATACAGATTAGGTTTGCCACAGATGTCACGCTTGACCAGCGGGTTGGCAATGGCAGTTTTTTTAAAATTTTAGTCGTTATAAGGAAGACGCCGCTTCACATCTGTTGGTTTTTTTATAGAATTAGACTGACAAACGAGCGCACAGTCCTGCTGATGGTAAGTGGATGCTGTGGAGCATAGACATCTACATCTATAATCAATTAAGAATCAAATTTTTGTATTTTGTATTTTTTGTATTTTGTATGATATGGGGTAGTGGATACTCTCACACCGCCACTACCCGGTAAACTTCCTACAGGAGATAGCAGTGAACTTCTCTCTATTTGATGTAGTTTCATCGACTGTGTTCAAAAGCTTAAATATTGTAAGTCAGTGCTTTGCAATGCAATTCATTCAACTGCATCTGGTGACAAATATCTTATGTATTCAACAAGTTGCTTAATATAACTTGATAATTCCAAATGCCTAACTTGGTAATCCCGATATGAATACTTTATGTACGTAATGATTTCAGTATTCTAACGTTTTAAGCTATTGCATAGCTTCTATCGCGGGCCTTGAGCGCGGGGACCGAATCCAGAAATTCCGTAACGAAAAAAAACCTCACGCTCCCCACTCCGACAGGCACGGAGGTGTGGCGTTGAAAGCCGTGCATCGTCTACCGTACGTCAGACGCCGTACGTCGTTTCAGTTCGGCAGACTTCGGCACTCGGCAGACTTCGGCACGGTGTTTGTGTGCGTGCGACTAAACGTATGCGTGTACCCTAGCTACTAACTCAATGATAAAAATTCCTGAATAACCTACATGTATTGTAAGATATTAAAAATATTTTAAACAATATTAACTTTTCATTTATTTCTTATTTCTCAGACATGCAGGTTTCCTCACAATGTTTTCCTTCACCGCTGAGCACGTGGTAAATCAACACTTAAAATTGCAATTACAATTTCATTGGTGCCGACGGGAATCGAACCCGGTTTGCTCGCGCACTGTGAAAATTTCAGCGAGCGCTAACCATCTGAGCAACCACGGCTCATCTCCCCTCGAGCTAGAGACTTTATTATATTTATGGTACGATTTTTGTCGCATGCCAGCGCTTACTTTTGGTTCTGGCAAAAAGTTGTGAAACGTCTATGAACGTCAGAATTGTGCAAATGTAGGTCGCAAATATTTTAAAATATTTTTACGGATTTGATGAACCATTTTAAATAAAAAAATAGTCTCCTATCTTTCTCTCTATGTTTTGATCTTCTAAAACGAATTTGAGTTGGTAAAATCAAGGCAAACTTAGGATAGGGTTGTCAATTATTATTTTGATAATAAAACTAGTGAAATTCCGCGGTTTTATATGCGCAAGTGTGAACGTAGTTAGAACATAATATAACTTTTATGTTTTACATAAATATCCTAAAAAAACTTATTATTTTAATTTGTTTCCACCTATAAAATTAACAAGTTTATTGCATTTTTATTTAAGTAATTTTTTATATAATTTCTTTATCTACGTCTATTTTTAGGAACCTTTATTTAGTCTGAATCTTACATAACACTATATTACTGATTTACTTACTTAAACGTAGTTTTCTTTTTTGCAGTTACAAATATCTTGTGAGGGAGAAAAAGGCAGTAATGAAAAAATAATAAGAAGAATAATAATTGACGTCAGCCACTTCTTTTCATAAAAATTTCAAATCATGATCCATTAGGTTGCGGCTTCACCGAACTACAAATTATCGGAGAAACACAAAAAGCTTAGAGTTAAAATTTACGTTTAAATAAATAATATATATATATATATATATATATATATATATATATATATATATATATATATATATATATATATATAAGATAATAAAATTGACTTTATATTTTATTTTGTTTATTTATTAATACCCACCAGTATTACTCACAAATAATCACAATACCTCATTAGTTATTGTAATTGGGTAAAAATATCTATCTAGTTACTAATACCTACCCAGTAGGCAAATATTAAAATAATAAATGTAGCATTATAAACAGTAAATCTCCCTCAAACTCAATTTACTAATATTGTTCCTAAATAAGGAATAGCGGATAAAAGATTAGTAATAACTATTGCTCCTCAAAATTATATTTGATCTCAAGGTAAAACATATCCTAAAATTCAGTAGCTAATTAAAATAATATTACCTACTATTCAAGTATATTTTCAATATGTAAGTAAATGAAAATAACAAAAATGAATCACCATTACCATGTAAAGTTCGAATCCATAATTAACATTTCGACAAATATTATAATTTACACCATAAAAAGCTAATTCAATATTAGCAGTGTAGTATATAGTTAAAAATAATCAAAATAGTAATTTTTATTAATTAGATAATATATGAGAATACATAATTCTAATATAATGCAACTAATATACCGAATAAAGAAAATTAAAATATATTCATCATTGTCTGCCGTGTCTATTTCCATAAAATAATTCATTGACATTGAAAAAATAATACTACGTTCGTACCAGTAGGTGGCGTCTTGCAGATTTCTTACGCGATATATTGTAGCGAGCGTCGGCAGACCGAATGCTCAAGGTCGTTCGCTAGGGGTGTAGCCTTAATTAGCTGTCGTGCGGTAATTAAGGTTAGTATGACATGTTTTGTAGCTGTTTTTACTTCTGTAACTTGAAAATCCCCCATTTTAATTAGAAAAACATTTTTGGATTCTAAGTGTAATTTAGGCTACATAAAAATTATTAAGAATATTTATCATTACAGCCCATCACAAATTCACTGCTCTAATCGAATACTATAAAGCACGCTGATGAACCGCTTGTTTCCATCGAATTCCTGCATGTCTTACTAGGTCATCACTCCATCCAGTGAGAGAACCTTTTTTCCCCATCGGTTGTCCGAGTATATAACTGGCCTGGCCCATTGCTACTTCAGTTTACTAATCCATTGCGCTATGTTGGTTATTCTAGTTTAATTGCAGATATTGTGTAGAAAGTCTATCACGTAGGTAAACCCCGAGCTTAGCCCATTTAAAATATAATAATATTTTTTATTATCGCTCTAATCCACTTTTTTCAACTTCAGCTCCAAAAACGAAAAGGCTACGGTGAGAATGTTTGCTACTGATGACCTCGGCAATTTTGAACTGATTTTCATGATTCCTTTTTGTATAAATAAAGTATACTACAGAGGTAGTTTTATGGAAAAAGAATTCCATTCCTAATGGTGATGAATTAATGTAACATTACCATTAAGACGAATCAAAACTTTATGTTGCCTTAAGTTTTAATAAAAATATAAGACGACTTCAAAGAACTATAAAGATAATAAAATTAGATGTTACTTTAATTTGAACTAAATGTAATTAATAAATTTTACATTCTGAATTCAAGGCATTAATTTTTAAACGCTGTGTGTTATCAGTTATCACCGACTTCAGAATGAGAAATTATTTTTTTGTTCTTTTATCTCGGGCTAACTTTCTATTAAATGTTATTTTTTTTGCTACTTAAGTTATTTTCTTAATAAGGTGCGAATTTAAGAGAAAAACATTGGATACACTAAATCACTAACAATAAATCATGTTGTTTCACGAAGGAATTTAAAATAATAAAGTTTATATTAAGATATTGACCACGTAGTAGAAAAAGAGAGATAAAGGAAAGTTAACCAGAAGATAGACAACAGCCTCTTCCAATTAAAACTCGGTCACTAATTCCTAAAGCGCATTAACATAATGCCATTTTCTTGTACATACCAGCGATTATTTAATGCAATTTAATAATTGTAACAATTATCATTTAAGAATTGTAAGCTAATGTTTACACGAGGTTGATTGAATGTGATTAATGAATGCAAGTCTTGACAAGAAATAATTGCTGGTGTCTTTGTTTTTTCCAAGGCAATTATATTTAGGAGATGATTGCCTTTTAGTTTTGACTTGTCTAAACACAGTCTTGTACGTGCGTAGGTCATTTTTGACGTGTTGCTTTAATTATTGCACGTTTTTACATTGGTGAAATTTGAATTCCAGTGCTGAACGTTTTGGAAGAAAAGTTTTATTATAAAATGAGTTAAAAGGTATTAAAATTCGTTAGCGTTACCCTAGAAAGATAATCTACGTCTATGCAAAGTAAGCGAGACACAAGTATTGTTATCTCTCTTTATTTCACATCGTAGCGCGCTGTCTCTGTCAGTTAATTCAGTCACTGTGTAGAGCTTACGGGAGACAGCCTTATCACCACATAATATATTGTACTATTTACACCAAGAAATTTATTAAATCGAAACTTGTTCAATAGATAAAGAATGTTACGTGTTATTTAGACCATGCAAGTCATTTCTTGCTTCAATTTAATTGTATGCAATAGGCAAGCAACTTGCATCATGTAAATGGCCCATTAAGTTCAGCATGGGCTTTGATGAGTTCTTATGGTAGCGGTTACGATATAAATATATAATAAATTATAAATTATAATATATAGATAGTAAATTTGGAGTATGTATATTTTTCATTCCACAAAGGACATGTTTCAGAAGGGAATAAAATATGTAGAAAGAAAGCGAAGCAGAGGGTGGTCAAGACGTGTCGTTGAGGTCTAACTTACAATAAGCCTCTAAATTACATGTATTATATCCTAGTTGAGGCTTGAGGCACTGTTGACCACTGTAAATAATATGTTTATCAGTAAATATTACTATAATTATAATTTTATGGCTTGCTTCGCGCTTCCGTGATCTATGCTGTAAAGCACGTATTGACATGTATGACATGGAGCACGAATCAGCACGTACGCTGTGGAGCAGGTATCGGCACGTATGCTGTAGAGCACGTATCGGCACATATGACATGGAGCACGAATCAGTACGTACGCTGGGGGGCACATATCGATACGTATGCTGTAGAGCACGTATCGGCACATATGACACGGAGCAGATGTGGACGTACCTGCGAGGCGCAGCTCCGCGGCGGCGTGAGCGCTGTGGGTGCCGCGCGCCGCCACGCACTGGTACATGCCGCGGTGCGCGCGCGCGGCGCCGCCCAGCACGAGGCGGCCGCCCGCTGCCGCCAGCGCTACGCCGTCGTGCAACCACGACAGCGACGCCGCAACGTTCGTACTGCAGTTCAGAGTCACCGTGCTGCCGGGTTCTGCCACCTGTGTCAAACGCACGTGTCGTGAGTTGACATCAAAGCTCAACTACTCTGTTTGATCAAATCAAATACGATGAACAATCTATACATAAAAATAAAATTGATGTGTCTCTTTGTTATAAATTTTGGAATGGCTGAACCGATTAAAAATATATATGGTAGTTGATTATCCTAAAAAGAATAACGCCATCAAAGGGTGTATTAATGGTGTTGTTAGTTTTAGACCCTAGCCGGCCGAAACCGGGCGACCCACGCTAGAGTATAGAAAGTAAAACAATAGAAGTCTAATTTAATAGTAATTAATAGTAAATTATGTTATGCAATATAACAGAAATATTATTTACTATAGCTATTATGGCTGCCACGTGCATAACTTTGTAAACTAACACAGCTCAGGGTTGGTATTTTCGGGTTTATAATTTATTAGTTTTGATTTTGAATATTTTTCACTGTTGTGTAAAAGCGAAATTTTTACTCAAAAATAAAGATTTAGAACTACAACTGCAATTTACTAACGACATATTAGAAAAGTACTTACCACGACGGAAGGTGTAACTGTAACGTTGAGTTCCACGTCAACGTTGAGGCGCAGTTGTACCGTGGCATCTCCAAAACCATTGTACGCCTTGCAGAGCCAGGCTCCGGACAAGTCGGGAGTCGCGCGACCGCAGAGCGCAGCCCCTCCGGCCCAGGCTCGTAGTGATGCTTCCCCTGCCTCTCCCGCCCCCATCCCCGCTGATGCGAACTGCACCGGCTGCAGTCGTCCATCGCGCTCGCGGTACCATCTGTCAAGTTTCAATTCACTATTGCATCTGTCAGAGAACCAAAAACATAGTCTTCGACTACCTACAAATTTGACAACAGCGATAGGAAAAACTTTATTTACCATCAGTGATCTATGCTATATAGAGTGTGAACATTAGTTGGACTGTGTGCTCATAAAAACAATTGTATAAATATTATATTATAACTTATGTTTTAACAAACTTCTTCAACAAGAATTACATGTAATCAATATTGCATAAAAATGATTCTATTCCATGTCACCCTTATGCTATTAATCAAAAAGTAAGGTGTGGTGACATACGTGTAGTGCGGCACGGGATAGTTCGTGGCAGCGCAGGGCAGGCAGAAATCGGCGCCACGCGCGACGCTCAGCTCACCCGCCACGGCCGCCAACCGCGGCGCGCCGCCTCCCCCGCCTGCACCGTCAGCTACGCGAACATAACATGGACACATTGCAGTGAGTTAAAACATTCGATTTAAACGAGGACTTGTATGTATACAACCAGACGGGAACTACTATGGTACTAATTACGCAACTAGTTGCTAGTTCTTTGTTTTGTAATACACGAACGTTTGTTTCGCCCATAAAGTAATATGTTCCACAGGCGGATCGGAGGGAAGAAATCAAAGCGTTTTCCTCTGATACAGAACTGTCTATCATTTTTTGCAGGAGGAAATCTGCGCACACCAAAATAAAAGTCTCTCAATACGAAACTCACACAAAAATTAAAACAATGAACTGACAATAACAATTTCTAACACAAGCAAATAGACACATTATGACAGAAGCACGCGATGACAGCGTCATCAATATCGTCACACATCATCGTCACAAAATATATCAATATCAATATCATATCAATATCATCGACACGAATGTAGTTAATTTCAACGATGATTTTCTTTACTCTTTTTTTTTACTTTCTTTTCTTAATATTTTGATATCATGCTACCCTGTTTGATATAGGATGCCCAAATAATAATTTTCTTCTAGTTTTAAAAGAAATGAATACAATAAAATATCAAAAAAAAAAACTGTCTGTATTAAAAATACGTAAGCGACTGAATTATGCGAAAACTTACGAATAAATTGGAATAGTGACAAGCTGTGCTATCATCAACTCAAAAGAATATTTTTTTCCCTTAAAGACACGTTTGATTTTTTTACATAATATAAATATATAGCAATCACGGATGGAGAAAAAAGGAATGTAGGAATATTTCAGTATGATCTACATTTATTTGTAGATCACACAGATATATTTCTACATCATCATAGAGCTACTTAGCCGCCGTTTGAAAGAAATCTAATTAATAGAATCATGCGTTACTTTTTAGTAATCCATAACAATAAAGACCTTAAATTTGATTGGTTAAGATCAGCGTTAGTGTAAAAATGAGATATCTTACCTAGTTTGTACAATCCCAGTCACCACTATTCCCAACCCTACTATTGCCAAAGTTTTCACTCTAGGAAAAACACACCACCATCGATATTAATACACGTGTTTCGGGTCTAAATTAGGCATTATGTGGTAAAATATACTCTGCGATGATACATCGCTTGCCAGAGGGTGGGAGGTGCTCTTCAAACTTGATAAAACATAAATAGTTTTTCTATCCACGCGGATTTTACCAAATTAGTTTTTATCAAATTGTTCTTTAATAAAAGAAATATGTCCTACCAGTTAACTTCTTAAAGAAGCTGAGTGAAGAAGATGCTTACGTGTCTAATTACTTAATTCTCGTGTAAAATATTTGTAATTTGCAATTAAAAAATTAATACAGGAGTAACAGGACGGGACTCACAGATGACGTTGAGCGTAGTGGGCCGGGATCGCTTGGCGACATCGGAGTGCGCGTGACGCGCTACGCAACTGTAGGGCGCCGCATCGTCCGATGTTATGTCACGGATTAGCAGCGTGTCACCAGCTGACAGGTAGCGAGGATCTGTTGTGAGAATAATCACTATAATGTTAACTTGAGACTGATCATAGATACTATGAATTTTTCGAAACGTCAAGATTATTTTTTTTATAAGATAGGGTGACAAACGAGCATACAGTCCACCTGATGGTAAGTGGCTGGTGAGGACCATAGACATCTACATCTATCCTCGATTTCTGATTGTGGGGACTAAGATGGAATGCCTCGTTTCCAGTAAAAAGGGTCTCCGGTTCTCTACACTCACCATACGAGACACAGCAGCATTAAGCTACCATTTTACGCTGGTATTCTGTGAGAGCGTGGTCCTTTCGACCGGTGTCGAGCCGACCTATTCGTGTTACAATTATACTACTAATATTACTGCAGCATGGCTCTACCACGTAAAAAATAAGTTTATTAAACGTACCGACTAAACAACTAGTTTCTGTATTGGTCGTTTTTGTAAATTAAGGTTGACAAACGAGTGCAAAGTTAAATTGATTGTAAATAGAGACTGTGACCTTTAGATATTAACACCTATCCTCGTTTAAGAATCAGAATGCATTTTCGTTGTCACCTCTAAAGACTAAAATGGAATGCCTCGTTTTCAGTTAAAAAGGTCTTCAGTTCTCTACACTCTCTCACCATACGCAACACAGCAACATTAAGCTGCTATTTTACGGTGGTATTCTTTAAGAACGTAGAACTTCCTTGGTCAATTCGACGCGTTTCTGCTACAACTATAATATAGCTGCAGCGTAGTTCTAACAAGTATCCGAGCCTTAAATGCAAATCTCAAGTTTTACCCGTAGATTATACCCCTAAGTTGTTTGCTTTCAACAATCAGGTGGAGTTTAAGTTTCTTTGTCTCACTAATTTATTAAAAAAGTAATCGGATTTTACCACCCGTTTTTTAAATATAGCCAAGTAGACAAGTAAGAATTCTGTAAATTTTATTATTAAAAAAAGTCAAATATCAAAAAGAAATGATTTATACACTTAAAATCACAATTGAGTTTATATCAATAAATATTTTAACAATTTGTGTATAAAATGTAACTTATAATTTTAACCCGACTTAATTCAAAACCCGACGGCTCGCGTTATAATAACGTGTTTTAGAGTATCTGAAACAGATTATAGCAAGTTGTTATCGGTCGCGGCCATTAATCATCGTCGCTTGTGAAACGCGAGGCGAGAGGCGCCTCCGCTCCGCAACCATGAGATATTGCTTTAATTAATATAACTTCGTACGACACATAAATATGCCGCTAAGAAACGGCCTTGTTAGACGACATCCCAGCCTTTTAATAAAAAGCATTTCTTAATGTTCCTTTTATAAAGGAATGTCTACAGTCAGACATTAATATATTCCCGTTACTATGTTACTAACTATATCAAAAGGCTTTTAAACTTTTAATTACCACGAAATTTATTTTAAAATTCTACATTACCACTCGTAGGACCAAAAACTGCAGGGTGCTTTTCTAACATTTTATTATAATTAATTTTAATTGCTATGGGTGGTAAATAATATAATATGCATGATATGCTATGATTGCAATTATATTCTCATTAAAACTTTCTATGCTTGGTGATTTTGGCGAATGGTGTCTTTGGTAACTTTAATTAAGTGCCCGTGATTGTTCTTGTAATTGTTTGAAAGAAAGGTGAGTCAGTTATTTGAGGTCTCCATAGGCCATTTATCATGCGGTGAAATGTCGGCTAGTTTTTATCAGGTATTAATTAAGAAATAGAGTACTATTAGCACTGACTTACGGAGTTTGGTGGGAACTTGACTGTTCTTATTTAATTGTATAAATAATAGTTTGAAGTGGAAGTCAAACTCTTCCAAAAACTTAAAAAATCTAAGTTTGGTGAAGCGCTATCAAACGCCGCTGAGTTCTTTCAAATAGGTCAAGCCATAAATGTTATTACACACACACACACACACACACACACACCGCGTGCACGCACGCACGCACGTGAGCACGCACGTACGCACACATGCGCGCACACACACACACACACACACACACACACACACACACACACACACACACACACATACCTACGCACGCACTCACACAGACATAGTGACATCCTCGTAGAAATAGTAATGCTTCCTAGGATCTCAAAACGTCAAGATCTGATAAAAACTCGATTTTCTAAAACTGGGGTGAATCCAATATATCCCGATTTTTTGAAAATAATTGATTTTCATAGTGGGTAGTGAAAAACATGTGTTCAGTTCACATGCGATAGAAGTGTAGCCTTTAGAAAAGGAGGCCGAGATAGTAGGAAACATTGTATACTGTATTCTACCTCATTCTCTAGCACTACGTCTTAAAGATGTATATGTTAGTCTCTTTTTAGTCCGACTTTTTCATTTCATCGAGTTTCAAATTACAATGATTGTAAAGAAAATTTCACTTCAAGAAAGCACTGACCTGCGAGGTCTAGAGCGCGGCCGGCGCGGTACCAGACGGCGACGAGCACGGGTACGGCGGCGCTCGCGCGGCATCGCAGCGCGCCGACCCCGCCCACTGACACTGTCTGTGCGTCCACCACGGCCTCCCAGCCCGTGTCCGCCACTGATATACACTTAGTTTGTAAATATATAGATATCATTGAAGTATTTAAAAATCCACTGTTGAACAAAGACCTCTCTCATAGAATTCCCTCCTCAATGGGATCCCTTCTACTTGCTAAAATTGTCACACTTAGAAAGCGGATTGGCAACCGCAGTTTTAATTATTTTGGGTTGATATCAGGAACATGCTTCTGTTCATACTTGTTGCATATCCTTCTGCCGCCTCCATACGCCGTTTTTGATGAAATTATCCAACAAACAAATTAAAAAAGTGCTCTTTTGAACATACTGTTTTGACGCTGTTATAAGTATAGACAGTTAACAACTAACAAAAAGCCAGTATAGGTATGTGTATAAATTATCTAAATTTCATAAATATAAAATATAAACACACGGTCACCCAGAGGGATAGGCAAAAACTAATAGAAGAGAATAGTCAGAATTATTCTATACAGATTACAAGAATACTTATTTTAAGTAATTTATTACTTACCACTGGTTCGGAAAAAACTTCTGCCATGGAAAGAACCAGCCAGAAACCCAGTAGAACTTTTATTTAAATATAATTGATTCACAATATATTATTTTATACAATAAGTAAGAAGACATTAGAAACAGCATGGTAGCGGTTACCCAAGGGGTTATTATCAATCATGTACTCTTTAGTAGTATAATAAGGGGGTTATAACTAAACAATTTTTGACTTATAAAAATTTGAGACTGCATATTTTCTGGGAGTTGGTTGTAAAAGCAATTACATTGCTCTATGAAGGAATTACTGACTCTTTGGAGTCAAGTAACTGGTATAAGTGGTTCTTGTTCCTAGTATTTATAGAATATACATAACTATTTTCAATTAAACTATTTTTGTTTTTATGTACATATATTACATTTTCGTAAATGCATTGAGTAGTTAATATATTAATTTATTAAATTTTTCTCTTAGGGATTCCTTCGTACCTATGATATAAATTGTTAGTATGTTTTTCTTTTGCGAAGCAAAGTTGTTTAGTAGTTTCAATATCAGGCGCATTAACCCATATCAAGATTCCATATGACATTTTGCTATGGTCTATGGTAATCTTTTTTACAGTATAGGCTGCAGAACTGAGTTTGCTAGCTAGTTTATGTATGTGAGAAAACTATTGAAAGTTCGCGTCAGTTGCAATTCCCAGATAAACAGTAGATTCAACAAGACTCAGCTCTTCTCCAATTAAAAGCACGTTAAGTAGTATTCACCTGTTTAAAGTTTGGTATTGTAAATTAAAAAAAAATCTATTTTTGACATAGCATTATTCACTTCGTCATAGTTTAATAATTGCCTTTTATGGCAAAAAATCAATGAGGTATCATCAGCAAATAAAACGATATTATGGTTATTCCCTACCAATCAAGGTAAGTCATTAATATTAAATAAAAACAGGAAGTGGACAAGAATTTTGTCTTAAGACTAAGGACTTTGTTCCTAGTATTTAAAGTAGGAACATCTTTATTCTTATGAAAGTTATCTATGTTTTTATGTACATTCATTACATTTTCATAAATATATTGTAATGCCAAAGTTAATTTGTTTATTTCCCTAAATTTCCTCTGCGGGGCTCTTTAAAATTTAAGCTGTAAATCGCCCGTACGGCTCTCTTTTGAAAAACAAATATGACTTCAATGTCATTCGCATAGCAAAATTGCATTCATTACCCCATAGTAAAATTCCATAAGTTCCATTCCATAAGATCCATTCCGTATATAAGTCATAAAGACCGATTTACACTTCGACAAGTACAGTATCGAGTTTAGTTACAGGGTAGTTGACAGTAAACGGATAAGTGGGAAGTAGCGTTCAAACAATGTCTTCGTGGCGAGTTTAGTTAAGGACATTAGTTCATAGAGTTCGTTTGAGTATGTCGTTTCAAGACTACATAATTTTTCTTGTTTTCGTTTAAGATGGATCTAGGATTACGTCAAGAATTAAATGATATAGTTAAAGAAATATTACTGGTTGTTGTTAAAAAGTTTTTAAGAATTTTCATCTCGGGCAGGTTTAATTTTATAATTTGAATTGCGAATATTATATAAACATTCGTGTTATAAATACTCCTGTACAAACTTAAACGTGATATCTTCCATCCGTTTCATTATTAAAACTCAATATAAAACGTATAAATATTCAATAAACAGTACCGTACAAACTTTGTGGCGATTTTAATTATAAAAGTACAATTATACGTTTTGGCGCACAAACGTTGCGTCCTGTCAACTTATGCGCTGAACTAAACTCGCTCGTTCACACGAGCAGTTAGTTTAGTTGCGGGTGTCGGGAGACGCGCGGCAGAGCAACACTTCGCTCGCTTATTGCTGTTCAAACGATATTTTTAACTTAACTCGCCAGGTTCGCAAGTTAACTCGCTACTGTACCTGTCGAAGTGTAAATAGATCTTTAGATTAAGTTAAAACGCGTAAGCGACGCGTATTTCAACGCTCTTAAGACCTTTCGTACGTGATAATCAACTAAGCTCGCCGTTTAAAGTTGAATAGTTCGCCTAACCAGTGTCCCCACAATTTACATCCACCGACTTACAACAAAAAAACTTATCTATTACGGCATTGACGACTCTTATCATCGCTATAACTAAGGAGGTAAATACATCCTTGATATGGGTATTGGGTATTTTTATGTTTATATTGTGAGCCTTTCCTAAACGGGAAGGGAGTAATTAATAAAAATTTGATTAATGTAAACCTGATATAAGTAAAATAGGGACGATTTAATGTTCTTAACTTTTCTCCAGCCCTGTCTTCGTGAACGGGGTTCAGTTAGCTTAAAATAATATAAGGCACTACCAATTACTTTCAATTGTTCTAGTGAATATACATTCTTCCAAAAGACACCTAAAAGAACTAAGTTACTGAATAAACACAACGTAAGGGTCCTAACTAAGACGATTACGCCATAAATACTATAAGCGGCCTATAAATAAACCTTTAGAAGGATCGTTTGGAAAGATCAAAACATATTTATTTATTCTGGACATGTATATAGATATAGTTTGATAGAAACGGAAACTAACATAATTATATAGAGGAGGGAAACCGTTACAATATGTAAGGATTGAGCAATTTAAATCGACTTGGAAAAGTTTAGATTAAAAAACACATTAAGTAAGTTAAAGTTGTAAATACAAGTAGCGTACCTGGCTCAAGTCTGACCGCGCGCGAGAGCACGGCGCCCCGCGGGCTGGCGGCCCGACAGCGCACCGCTTGTGAACTGCGCACGCGCAACACCTGCAGCGACCCGTCGCCCAGCACGCGCCTGCTGGCACACGACAAATGTTATTTTAATTGAAAATAAAACATTAAGATTGTATCTTTACATATTATAATATAGTCGCAAGTAGCCTCAAACAAATCAACACCTTAAACTACATGACAATATACAGCACAATAACTAATGAACTATTTATTGTACAAGAACTCAAGATTTTGTTGTATTAAGTAAATCTGTATGTGGTTTTAATTGTACATAATATTCAAATAATATTTGTACTTAATTTTAAACGACATACAACATTACTCGACTGGACGACTACCAGCTTTCCGAACAAGCCAATGTCACAAAGTACTTTGGCACCCATAGACTACATACACATCCTTCAGCAAATTGTACAGAAGAGCAAAGAATATAATCTGCCACTTTGACTTACGTATGTGGACTCTGAGAACGCCTTTGATTCCGTCGAAATATAGCCTGTGCTGCATTCCTTTCAGCGGTGCCAACTTGACTGTTGGTATATCGAAGTGCTGAAGTGTTTCTACAGTAATCTAACGATGGTTATCCGAGTAAAGAACTAGAGTACGAAACCTATACAACTGCAGAGGGGTGTAAGACAGGGTGACGGAATATCCCCGAAACTCTTCACCCCTGTATTGGAAGACGTTTTCAAGCTATTGGACTTGAAAACATTTAACCTCAATGGCGAGAACATCACTCACTTTCGCTTTGCCGAGGATATAGTTATTATGGCAGAATCACTGGAGGACCTAAGCACTCAATAACCTCAATAGTTTCATTCTACGGATAGGTCGTAAGATGAACATGGACAAAATAAAATATGACGTTACACATGAGTGTAACGTCCATGTCACAGCTATGCCGGTAGTTGTTGAGAGCACCAAGCTTGAACTTGTTGACGAGTACGTTTACCTACGACAAATAGTCCGACTAGGTAAGTCTAGCTTCGACTGAGAGGTCAATCGACGGATTCAACATGGCTAGGCACCGTTAGGGAGATTACGACACATCTTCTCGTCAGACATACCTAAAACTAGATTGTACGACCATTGCGTGTGATGACCTACGGATCTGAGACGTGGTCCTTAACTGCTGGCCGTATGGGGAAGCTCAAGGTCGCTCAGCAAGCTGTGGAGAGAGCTATGCTTGGAGTTTATCATGCAGAGAAACGGAAATGGAAATGAGGATATCCGCAATGGAATCAAAGCAAATATATGTTGCAAAAGTGAATGCAAGAGTCGGAAAGGCACATCCTAGGTGAAAGTTTGTTGACAAAATTGGCGATATAATAACAGTGGGCCAAATTAAGAGTACCCTTAACCGACGAGTATGTATGCGTAGGTATATGGATGTGGAAGAGGTGAGAGAGGTATGTCAGGATCGTACTAAATGGAAGCATATAGTCTCTGCCTACCCCTCTGGGTGACAGGCGTGAGTGTTTATATTTTTTAATCAGAGTGATTTATATAGCCCAACGGATTAGTAAGCTGAAGTGACAATGGGCCGGCCATATAGTTCGAAGAACCAACAACCGATGGGGAAGAAAAGTTCTTGAGCGGCAGCTTCGTACCAGTAGGTGAAGTGTGGATCATCCGCCTACTAGATGGAGTGATGACCTGGTAAGACATGCAGGTGGCTCGGGACTGTGCTTTGTGGCGATCCTTGGGGGAGGCCTATGCTCAGCAGTGGACATGTGAAGGGATGTAATGATGATGATGATAATAAACCAATATCATCCCGTTTGTATCGTAAGAGATGACAGTTTTAACATGGTATAATATGGCTGCAACAAGAATGGGTCGGCTGGACTAGGAAAAGATTACGCTCTTAATAATGTTGTGTTCCGTATGGTGAGCATAGAGAACCAGAGATCCTATTTATAGGCAAGAAGGCGTTCTATCTTAGTCCCCGATAAATGTAGATGTTTATGGACCACTGCATCCTCTCACCATCAGGTGAACTGTGTGCTCAAGTTTTCCATCAGCACAGAGTATATCGTAAGTCATGCATTTTAATTACAATAACAACAATTCGAACTCGGTCGGTAAGCCGAGAACCCTCTGAGCTCACAACGCCTCCGCAATGGTTTAAGGCTAATACTGCGTACATTTTATAAAACAGAGATAATTATGTTTAGTTACCTGGTTTAAATAGTAACACTTCACTTGATTTGAGATAGATTACATGTAATGTTCGATATTGATCTTTTCAAGACTATGTTTAACGGTATTCATGTCATGGAATAATATTTCCCCATGCGGATTGATCAGGGCTCTCTATCTTAGTACTGTTTTCTTCTTCTATATTTTTCTTTTATTCTTCAGGAATCAATGTCAGTGTGTCTCATAGAATATACCGCCATTTGTCAGACGCTAAAGCCTCGGTTGCATATAGCAGGTTTCATTGCGTACGGATGAGAATTACTAAAGTTAAGTTGTTAAGTATCCAATACAAACTAATATAGTTTTGTTTCGTAGTTTCACTTAATTTTTTTTTTGGAAAGAAACCTTCATTAGAGTATCGTATGCTCATGTTACATGTTTGTGTAGCATGAGAGTAAACTTTAATTTTTAATCACTAAAATTGCTGTAGATTGTTTTCTTTTTGTGTGTAGCCAAAGGATGGACAGGTCCGAACCTTCAAGCCCTGCCGAGGCGTCGAGAACAGATGTCCTCTCTGATGTAAACGCAAACTCCAGCCCGAGGCAAAAAGGAGTGTTCCAGTTTGTACCCTGGGTAGGAGAGATACGAGACATCAGCCGGGGAGGACACCTGCGTCTCGATCAGAAAGAGCAGAGCCAGCCTTGCCGTCTCGAGATGATAGTGGACGGCGTTTAGGTTAGAGTAAAGTCCCCTGATATTGCAGAATTTCACGGATAGCGTGGCAGGGGTCACCTTGATGTTGTTGCTCTGTTTGCCCCGAGTAGTTGTAGTCTTGAGCGGAATTTTGCCCCCCCCCCCCCCAGAATACGCGAGGCAGCCTGAGAGCACCCACGCTCAGAAGTGGAGAAACATTTTCGTGGATGCTCAGCGAGGGATTCTCCAGGGGTGCTGTTACCCTCCTAGGGTAGTCTATCATCATTTAATTCCGCTACCATGTTGATGGGGGGGGGGATTTGGGTCTCCGGCCATATGCACTCACCAGACGAAACGCGGTGCTCTGATATTTCATTTCGTATTTTCTACTGTTTTATGAGAAATTTTTAAATTTTATATATGATTCGTAATCATGTATCTATATAAAATCAAGCAATATAGGCGTGGGGGGGGGGGGGGATGAGAAAATACAATTTTGTTTTCAAACGCCGAGCAAAAGGTTAGTCGCACATTTAATTTATTTATAATTATCAAGGTCAAATCAGTTGAAAATGGCCTTACATAATAATCGACACCCTAGCTAGCAATACGAAAGCCCTGTCATATTGTACAGAGTACTCAAACACAAATAGGGGCGCTGCAAAATCCTTTCAAGCCATTCTTTGTATCACGCGCAATTCCACTCAGGACGCTTAGTTTGTCACGACGCGCACTCGCTGTTCAATCATATTACAAAAGTTTACTCTACATCGCAGTTTTTAATGGACAAGTTGACGTCAAGAAAGTTCCCTACTTAATTTGTTAAAGTGCTCGTGGACGGGACTCATCTACAGGAGTGCAACTTGCTTTTAAAATTTATTGTCTGCATCGCTTTTTTATTGATTAAATGCTTTGTGTTTTTTTTAAATCACAAATGTTACCTTTGCGCACAATAACTTAGAAACGGCGCTTCTCTGGAAGAAAAAGGATATGAATAGCAAAAGACACTGGCGACGCTCCCAGATACTCGCTGACATGTTCTGCCAGCGTTGGGTCCGAGAGTATCTACAGGAACTTCAAAACCGGCGGGAGGCCCATGGGAGAGGTCACAATCCTCAGGTGGGCGACCGAGTCCTCATAGCTGACGGCCAGTGGCCTCGTAACACCTGGCCACTAAGGAGGGTGGAAGCTGTTTACCACGGTGCGGACGGACAGATCCGCACTATGGAGGTACGCACAGCAAACGGCCTAATCAAGAGGCCAACCAGGAAACTCGTGCCGCTGCCGAAGTAGAAGAAACGTCGCTCACCGAAATGGATGCAGCGCCGCTGTGAGAAAATCGTCGCATATCGAGCATAGTGCTCCTCAACAACTACCGGCATAGGTGAGACATGGACATTAAACATGATCTTTGTTTTGTCCATGTTCATCAGACCTATCCGTTGGGAGACATCATTGAGGTCATGAGCATAGTGCTAAGGTCCTCCAGCGATTCTGCCATAAGGACTATATCGTCGGCAAATCGAAGGTGCGTGATGTACTCGTCATTGATGTTAATACCGTATCCTTTTCAGTCCAGTAGCTTGAAAACGTCTTCCAAAGCAGCGGTGAAGAGTTTCGGGGATATAACGTCACCCTGTCTTACACCTCTCTGCAGTTGGATAGGTTTCGAGCTCTGGTTCTGTACTCGGATAGCCATCGTAGCCCTACTGTACAAACACTTCAGCACTTCGATATACCGACAGTCAACTTGGCACCGCTGAAGGGTCTGTAGCACCGCCCAAATTTCGACGGAATCAAAGGCTTTCTCATAGTCTACATACGCCAGGCAAAGTAGCAGATTGTACTCTTCGGTCTTCTGTACAATCTGCCGCAGGGTATGTATGTGGTCTATGGTACTGAAGCCTTTTCGGAAATCGGCTTGTTCGGGAGGCTGGAAATCGTCGAGTCTGCGTGCGAGACGATTCGTAATGACTCTCGAAAACAGCACGTAGACGCGGCTCAGAAGGGAAATCGGTCTGTAGTTCTTCAAGAGAGATCGTTGTCGCCTTTCTTAAAGAACAAGACCACCGCACTTCTGCTCCACGCCTCCCGGAGTAGTGCCACCATAGAGGACGGACTTGAAGAGCTGCCGAAGGACTTCAAGTACCGGTGTTCCACCCGCTTTCAGAAGCTCCGCTGTAATTCCATCCTCGCCTGGGGCCCTGCCGTTTTAAGGTGCTGGAGAGC